AGACCGAAGTCACGCGGCCAAGAAGCATAAGAAGGAAGAGTGGGGGACCTTATAATGTGACCTTGAGGTAAAGAAGATACTGTGTCCTTTGTTGTACCCGAAAACCCTGTGTAAGGTCACCCCTTTCATCCCCGTGACCTTCTACGAGCGGTGACCTACATAGCTGACCTCGTAATGTGTAGAGATTATTATTTTTGAAGTACATATGGAGATTAACAGCATAAGGGACGGTTGTGGGTGAAAGTGTGTGTTTGTGTTTTTTTCAGAGAAGGGTTAGCAATGTTATATTTATTTGTGTCAATGTTCACAAAAAGATTTATACCGTAATCATCGTCTCAAAATAATAAATAATACACTCGTATACCTTACTAAAGAGAGGTGTTCGTTTCCAAAGAATTTCAATAATAAGTCAAGAAAAAAAAGTCACGGAACAAAATAGAAAATACATAGTACAAGGGAAATAAATTAACCAATAATACCATTTCCTTTTGTATGTTTAGCATAAACAGTAAGGAAGGAAAAAAATCACAAAAGACAAAAACGAGAAGAAAAAAGTTACACAAACGAAGTCAAGAGAAGTCGAAGCGGACAGGGTGAGCGTGTAAACAAAGCACCCACTGTCTCGTGCGTATACGATGTCGTCTACGAAGCATCGAATTACGTCACGAGAGAAATGCGGCCTAATATGGAAACCTTTCACTGTGCTGTTCTATAGCGTAGGTTCCACTCTGCGTGTATTATGCATTGTTAATCTCTGATATGGCATTGTGATACAAATCCAGTTACAAATCAAAAATATGTTTCATAAATTGTTAATTCTGAAATGGTATGGCGAATGGTATTGAGATAAACTCCGTTACAAGAAAAGAACATTATATATGTGTATTACCCACTGTTAATCTTTGATATGGTATGGCAAATGGTATAGTAATAAATCCCAGATACAAGAAAAGAATATCAATATTCTTTCTTGATGTGGCGGCGTCTCATTCTCGATCTGTTTACACGTGCCTGTGTTTGTATTTTCATTCTCTAAATTTATTTGAAGATGATGATTCAAAGTCTGACCTTCTAAGCATAAGCAGTCACGTCTGTCACCTAGTATATATAAAATAAACAACAGAATATTTAGACTACAAACATGTGGTGTCCCTTGTAAATGTTATAGTATCAATAACTTGATAATATTAAAGCTCGTCCTCTGATTTCATTAAAAAATAATCATATCTGTACCCTTTTGTGTTGTGTGCATAGCTGATACTGATGTACCAACAATGTACTGTACTTTGAAGTCTACCCAGGGGTGCCAAAATCATGGCGTGACAAGAACCATTAACATGAAATTAAAAACACTTGCAGGGCAATTAGAGGAAAATATTGTAAATGATGCATGGTACATTTTTTCAGCATATATACTGTGTATACTGTGAAAACTAAAATAAAATAGTATTATAAATTGTTGGAGATCATGACTAATATATATATAGAAATACACTTTGTTATTATTGCCTCACCATCTAAGATTTAATGAACAGAATGAACTTTTTGTGCAGATACGTAATACAAGACAGTTTTCGCAACGTAATCAGGTGAAATTAGGTTACATATATACCTTTTTTGGCCCTTAAGATGAGAGCTGAAATCAAAATAAGTCCTCGAGGGAATTGGACATTGACACCCCCTGGTTTATTCGAGTATTTATCTGCTAATGTAACGCACTCGTCTGCTTATTTTACTTAAACGTTTTAATTGACTTTTTTTTTTTTCTTTTTTTTTATCTGTGCGGATGCTCGTGAGTTCCCTAAAGTGACAGGATTATTGTTTTTAGGTTTATGTCCCCGAAGTGTTTTTAAAGCAAGATGTCTCGTTCTTTTACAGGATTTTTTATACTCTGTTTTCATCCTAAAAGGGTAAAGAGGTTGGAAGAAAGAAAGAGAGTGAGTGTGTGTGTGTGAGAGAGAGACAGACAGACAGACAGACAGACGGAGACACAGAGAGAGAGTGCGAGAAAGATCCCATCTTTAGTTTCAGATGAACTCGATATTAGCTTTGAAGTTAATGAACGTAAACTTTTTTCCTTAGCGAAAAAATCATATTTTAGACTTTCTTGCTTAATTCTTTTATTTGTCATATGTTCGTTAAACCGCAGTGAAAGTTATGAAATCCCACTTCATTCTTTCTGTCTCCTTTCTGTCAATCTACCCGTCTATCTATTATCTATCACGAACTGTTTTATGATTTAAAACAAAGAAAATAAAAATAAGTAAATTGCACTGTTTGATTTCAAAATTTTCAATGGAATGTTATTGATTAATCTACTCAGCAAAGTGATGGACATTTAACTTATTCATGTCATGGGAAACACTTCCTACATTTCCATCTATCTATCTCTAAATGTCTATCTATTCATCAAGCAATTAATCTGTGCATAATTGTTGCATCTCTGCTCCACGAGTGCAAAGCAATCACATCTTCATATTCAGGAATGATAGTCGTTAAAATGTTATAATTTTTATGTAATCACGCGAAAGTAGATCTACAACAGTGAAAGCTGATAAAATCCTACTTCCTTCTTTCTGTCTCCTTTCTGTCAATCTATCAACCATTATCTATCACGATCTGTTTTGTGATAGAAAACAAAGAATATAAAAATAAGTACCAAACGAAGATTGAAATACACCTCACTGCAGTGTTTGATTTCAAAATTTTCAATGGAATGTTAGAATTGATTCGTACCATCTAATTAGAAAGCTCAGTGATTCAATTGCTCAATTTATGGCTATCCGGTACTTGTCTAGATGATCAATTGCTATTTGCAGGAAAAGCAGTTCCGTCTATTAATGATTTTTTTTCTATATTTATAATAACTATTCCTGTTCTCCGCCATAAGCGAACTTTATTAGAATATAACCTGAAATTAAATTCTTTCTACCCAAATGTATATCACATATATACATAGATGGATAGATATATATAGATGTAGATATTGATATGTATATTATTTCAAGCAAAACACTTTTCTGTCTCTCCTTTTACTATTGATGACACTGTAATGTGCCCTTTGCCGCAACCCCCCCCCCCCCTGAAACCTTATAACAGATGGTCTGTTTCGTGTCTTTAATTAGTCCTCAAAAGCAGGGAATCCAATCCCTCTTAAATAAAACTCCACTTTGATTAGTCTTAAGGAAAACTACAGTCCCTTTTATCGGTCTTTATAATCCTCATTTTTATTCATTTGTTTCGTATGTTTGTTTATTAATTTTCATATCCATATGATTTCTTTATTTTATTTTATTTCTTTTTTAAGAAGTGGTAAGGGCTTGGGAGAAACCACCATATGGAATATAACGCAGAAACGCATATGACACACAACCGCATTCTTCTATTGTTATTCAGCTAATGTAGACCTATGGTATACTTTGTGTCACGAGACCCTCAGCGATCATGAATATAAATCTAGTTTTGGACATGACTGGAATGCAAAGAAAAGCCGACCTTAAGCGGATAATACTTAATATTTTGTTAAACCTCATTCCTACAAACGCTCCTTGACCGCAGAGGCGTAACTAAAATTCTGACTTTGTGAGAATACTTAACTTTTTTATCGTTACCCAACAAGGATGCCTTTAAAAACATGAATGAAAGTCTCCTAAAAAGTTTATTTTGTCCTTGGTGAACAATTTTCGCATCGCCTTAAAAATACAACGATGATAATAATAACAATAAGATTATAATAGAAATAATAATAATGATAATACAAAAAATATATATATCTAGTCAAGGCCAAAGTTCTAATCACTGGACGAAAAAGAAAATGGGAAAATTACGCCATCTATCGGACAGGAAAACTAGTGTGTCTTTCTTCTTTTATAGGATTTTAGACCATTCTATAGTCTATACTCCCTTGGTGTGTCTTTTGTGTGACGAAAATATGATTTTTGGGATTACCTCACTTTTCAGATTTTGTCTGACAAGAATGGGATTTTTGACTCCAATTGTTTTTGACTCTTAAGTGTTTCTGAATATGTATATGTATGTGTTTGTGCGTATCTGTGCGTGTGTGTGTGTGCGTGTGTGTGTGTGTGTGTGTGTGTGTGTGTGTGTGTGTGTGTGTGTGTGCGTGTGTGTATTTGCTTCTGTATTTATGCATGTGTGAATGTATTTCAGAGTGTGTTTTCTATGCGTCATGAGTTTGAACATTTATGCTCGCATGTGCGTGCGAGTCTGTCCGAGTGCATGTGTGTATAAGCAAAAAATAGACCCTTGTGTGTAAGCATCATGTATTCACGTACATGAATAAATTTCAATGTGCGTTTAAATCAAACTTCAGCCTTGGGAATAATAATCACAAGCGACGTACAGCAAATATAGACCCTAGTAAATCCATCCGCAGATGTAGCAGCGCACAAAAGAGTTTGCGAAGAGAGTGAGAGAGAAAAAAAATCTTGAGCCATATTTGTCAACCACAACAAAGAGTTATAGAAAACGGGATTTCAGACTAAGATGGATTCTCTTCTCATTCTTTTGTTCCTTGTCTTGTGATGTTCTTTTATTTTTTCTTTACTTCGTACTTATTGTATGTTTTGTTGATGTATCTTTTCTTTATCCGTTTTATTTCGTGTTATCAAATATTATTTTTATAGTATCAAGTCTTTCTTTTCCTTTTTCATTTTCATTCTTTCCACATCCATTTTCGCTTTTCCTTGTTATCCTTTAATCTCTATATTTTTCTTTTTGTTTTAGCTTTCATTTCATTTTTATTCAACTTCGGTCAACCTTGTTACTGCCATACATACATACATACATACATACATACGTACATAAATACGTACATACATAAGTACATACATACATAAGTCAAATCTCGGTTATCGAACGACTCACTAGTTAAACAACTCTTTATTCGACCAAAAAAATCGAGTCAAAAATGTCTCTGAAGTCGAACAGATTTTCGGAGTTCGAACACACGAGTCGAACCGAGGCAAGCCGACGCGAACCCA